TCTGTAAAATCACACCTTGCCAACTGGAACTGTGATGGATTTCCACACCCAAATGGAATAAAGACGTGTAGTAGGAAAGTTAAAGAGTTACCGAAACACCAGAGTAACAGCAGCCTTCAAGACACAACTACTGGCAAACAAACCCAGACAGCTCCAGCAGAAAGGGGAATTCATCAGCACAGGTGTGTGACCTCCTTTCCTCAGGGCTTCAGTCTGCCACAATTCTCTGGTGCCAGATCAAAACAACACTACACAAAACACTTTTCTTGGACCTGTTTCAGAAGTCATCACCGGGTAAGGAGTAAAGCCCTCTAAGTTTTTGGGTTTTTTTTGCTTTTTGGGTTGTTTTTGGTTTATTTTTATTTTAACAATAAATTGTTAAATAGGTGCACAAAGTTCACAGTGTGCACTGGAAAACAACAGTTCTGCTCCAGGTCACAGATCCCCACAACTGGGGCTGTTGTGTTCAGACCCTACTCACACCCCCAGTTGTAAATAATTTTCAGCCCTGAAGACATCAGCCTAAAAAAACCCATTTCCACTAAAGCTAGAAAAGAACAAGTGTGCATATCTGAATACTCTGATTTCCAGACAACTTTCCTAGGTCTCTCGAGGATCTACTCCTGTATTTCTGAGCACAGAACAGAACTAAAGCCAGGATTTGCCAGCTACTTGGGACTGCTGTGTAACAAGAGCTGTCAAATCATGGAGCAGCCCAGCCTCATGTTCCAATAGCCATGGAAAGCCCAAGTGCTTTTTGGGACAGTAAGATTTTGCAGGTTGGGCACATGCCAACAGCAGCAGCTTATCACAGTTCCACAGTCTTGAGAGAGACTCGGAAAGAAACTGCACATCACACAGCACACAAACGTTCTTTAAAAGGAAGATCCAAAAAGAGGACTGGGCTAACCCATGAGACAGCCCAGACTTTCTAGGTGGAACACAACAACAAGAGTAATTCAGCTCTTACCTTTACCAGCGACTTTATCTGCGCACCTGAAAAAAAAACACAAAAGCATCTGTAAGAGCCGGACTCTATGGGATGGGGGCAGCAACAAGGAACTGAATGACGTGGAGATGAGCCCAAATTCCTCGAAGTCTCGGTGCCTCTCTATCGGGTCACTGTTTTCAACCCCTCATGCCAAGGTGGATTATTTCAGCCGCAGGAAGCTGAGGGGAACTATAGGAATATGCAGCAGCAAAGGCCCAGCCATGCCCAAGGACACTTATGACTGATCCAAGGGGATTCTGTGCTTAGAACACGGGAGAACACAGGGGAGCTGCACTTCCAAAGGCTCCGGTGTCCCGCTCAGGCCCGAAGGTGCAGCGAATGCAGCATCTCCTCCCGGGAAGGTATAACCCGCCGCCTCCCTCACCCAGACCTCTGGCAGACGGGGCCGGACCGCGCTGGCACCGCGGGGCACCGGGACAGCGGCCGCTGCCCGAGGGTGCTGCGCGGCCGGCGATTCCCGGGACACTGCCCTTCCTGGGAAGGGACCGGCGGGCCGGCCCAGCCCGGCCGGAACAAAGGGGCGGCGGTGCGGGGCACCCCGCGGCCGGAGGCGGCCCCGGGGCCTGGGTCGGTTCGCGCGGGTCGGGCAGAGGCCGCCGCATCCCCCACCCGCGGCGCGACCCCCGGAAGGCGCGGGCGGAGCGCGGCGCTGCAGGGACTCACCCGGCCCGGGGGGCCTTCCTGGCCGCGGGCGGCGTCTCGGCGGCGGGCTGCTCGGCGGCGGGCCGCGCCCCGGGGCTGCTCCGCCGGCGTCGCGGGTACTCGGCCTTACGGCGGCGGGACGCGGCGGCGGCGGCGGCAGCTCCTCCCGCGGCCGAAGCGGCGCGGCCGCGCTCCCGGCCGCCCCTCAGCACCCGGCTGCCGCCGGACTCCTCCCCCTGATCGGCGGCGGGCGGCGGCGGACGGCGGCGGCCCGAAGCCGGCGGCCTGTCTGAGGCGGGCGGCGGTCCCGGGGCGGGCGGCGGCTCGGCGGCGGCGCCCCCGGGCTGCTCGGTGCCCGCCGGCATCGGGGCGGCGGCGGCGGCGGCGGCGGGGCCGGGACGGCCGCGCTCCACCCTCGGCCGGGCACGCCCGCCCCCGCCGCCCTCGGCCAATCAGCGCCCGCCGCCCGCCTTCACGCGCGGCCCCTGCGCCCCGCCCCCTGTCCGCGACCACCAATCCGCGGGCGGGACCCGGGCGCCGGCCCTGCCCCCCAGGCCCGAGTACCCCCGCCCGCCGCGCTCACGCCTTTCCCCGCCGCTCGCGCGCCGCCTGGCCAATGGGCGACCCGGCCGGGGCGGGGCCCGCCCCCCCACCGCCGAGCGGCCAATCAGCGCGCAGCTCCCGCGCGCGCCCCGGACTCGCGCCGCCTCTCGCGCAGGCGCGGCCACGGCCGCTGCGCTCGCGCTCCCGCTCCCCCCCCGGCCGGCCCCGCTCGGCGCCCACTCGAGCGCGGCCCCCGCGGCCGCCGCCCCGCAGGCCCCTCCGCCCGGACCGCCCGTCCGCCGCCGCGCGGCCGCCGCCCGGCCCCCGTCACCGCAGGGCTCCCTACCGCCGCCGCTGCCTGCGCCCCTCCGCCTGCCCCCGGGCCCCTTTGCCCCTCGGGCGAGGCCTGGCAGGGGAAGCCGTTCGCCGCCCCGCCCCACGCGGCTGCTCCGTGCCGCGGGGCTGCGGCGCCGCCCGTAGTACCGGCGGGGCCTGGCGGCCGGGCCGCTTTTTGCTACCGCTTCTCCTTTAAGAAAAAAAAAAAACGCCCCGTCGGGCGGCGGGTGAAAGTCGGTGACAAAATGGTGGCCGGCGCAAAGGGGGCGGGGCACACGGCCCTGGCTCCGCCCATTTCCGCCCTGCGGGCGCGCATGCGCGGTGCCTGCCGGGAGTTGTAGTTCCCGTGCCCGGCCGCGTCCCCGCCCCGAACGGCCCCTGGGTAGAGCCCCGGGAGCGGCTGTGCCGAGGGACCCGTCCCCGTGGTCTGCACGGCCTGAGCCCCTCCCCACAACAACCCCAGCACCGCCTGATTGTCCCACGGGAACTGGGCAAACACATTACACCCACACGAAAACCCCAAAACTTCGCCCCCGCAGAGGCTGAAGGTGCCACCCGGGAGCGGGTTTTGTCACGGTCGCCCCTCTGTCCCCTTCCCTGCTCTCCAGCCTACTCGGTGTCCGGGCTTTTGGACCCGGACTGATCCTGGCACAGTATTCCCTTGCCTTGGCTGCAGCGGGATGTGACACCAGGCCAGGATCTTGGGGAACAGGACTGGGTGTGCTTGCTCTGGAGCAGAGGCTTTGGCTGATCTTCCCCACCGTTTTATGACAGGAGAACAAAGGGTAACACTTCCCCAGAACAAGGTGCTCCTCATCCTCCCTCGGGAGACAAAAAGCAAAAAGCACAGGGGTTCAAAGAGCCCGCAGCGTTCAGCTGGAAAATCCTGTTTGCTGAACTGGTTCCCACCGGTGAGAGGGCTCCAAGCGCCTGCTGCTTCCTTCTTCTGCATTTCAAATCCTTTCTGCTTCTGCATTTCAAGTCCTGAGCTCTGGTGTGTTCCTAGAAAACAAAAGTGTGTCCGACAGTTCCTGAGAGTGTGCTAATAAACCCCCTCACTATGGAGGACCACATTCCCCTGACCCAAACTCTGGGAAGGAGGAAAATGTCCTTGCCTGAAAGTTAAAGAAAACCTCAGGATCTTTGCACAGGGATTCCTCCTGTCTCCGCTTTTTGTCAGTCCCATGCCAACCTGTCCCTGCCACTGTGATGACTGTCACAAGGCTGGGGTCATTTAATTCTCGTTAGAACAGGGCGCAGAGCTCAGGACAGGGCACAGCTCAGCCTGTGGCTTCTGTAAGGACAAGTTTTAAGAGGTTCCACCTCCAGATGCTTGTGGGCACTCAGGCTCCCACATCACTAAATCCCTGAGAAAGCTAAAAATAGCCCAAAACCTTCCACAGGTAGGAAGGTTCTGCTGAGTGCAGAAAGGGAAGTGCCTGACACAAGGATCTCATGGCCAAGCAGCCCTGAGCAGTGACACCAGCAGTGCCTCCTCTGGGCTTTGGGTGGCTCTCAGCATTCCTGGCCTGAAACAGGCCTGGACACAGCGGGTTGGTGGCCCTGGGGCCTTTTCCTGAGGCAGAGCTGTGCTAGATGTCCCTGCTGTGAGCAGGTGACAAAATGGTGTCAGGAACAACCTGACCCCTGAGGTGGCAGCTTGAGGGGCTCAGCTCCAGCCCGTCCCACCCATGGGGGCTCAGCAGTGCCCAGGAGCGGGGCCAAGGCAGTGCCAGCCTGACCCCTGTGGGTGCTGGTGCCTCCCCACAAAGAGGATGTAGTCTGTGCCTCTTAACCTTTGCTCCCAAGGTTTTTCTGCCTGGACCAGGTGACTCTTTGGCAGGGCTGGTGGCCAAGGTGACAGAGATGTTGTTGGTTGCCTACCAGGTGCTGCCTCCTCCAAACACCCAAACAAGAGCCCAAAGGACACGCCAAGCCATGTGCACCCACCTCTGGCATTAACATTCCCCCAGTCCCTTGAAGCTGCTTCCACATCCACTGCCTGCTCCCAGCAGTGCCAGGAGATTTCTCTGCCAAAAAGGATTTACTGTTACCTGGAAATCAATGATGAGGCTCCAGAAGCGTTCCCCAAAGGCAAGGTTCTGCTGGAATGTGACAGCACTGCTCCATCCTGCTGCCGCAAATCCATTTCCACACAGCACAGGGAAGCCATCCCAGTGGCCAGTGTCTTCTGGACAAGGCCTGGGTCAGCAGGACATCCATGTCTTGGCTTCTGGAGTTCCTTGGGCAGCCCACTGGCCAGTTTCTCTCCTCTGCAGCCCCAGCCCCTGTGCCCCAGCTGTGCCAGTCACACGTGCTGTGAGGCGCACAGCCCACAAAGGAAGCCCTGGGTGACAAACCCCGGCGTGAGGGGCGGAGGCGAGACCGGAACAGAGCCGGCGCAGCCTCTTCTGCCATCTCAGCACCCCGGGGTGCTGCCCCTGCCCTGGGAGCCCACACCAAGGCAGGATGGAGGATTTGGGTAAGTTGGGCCTCTCTGGAGCTGATCCTGCAGCCAGGCCTGGCTGGAGGTCACCTTTTTGGCACCTCCGGGGAGCTTTTTCCTTCCTGTACCTCAGGACCGGGAGGAGATGCCACTGAGGGGCAGCCGTGGAGCCCTGCTCCCTCCTGTGTCTCCCCCATCCCAGGGGACCAGTGGGGCTGGTGGTTGAGTGAGCACTTGGCCAAAAATGGAGCAAGCTTGAGAGCAGGAAATGGGCTGGGGCAGCGCCACAACCCTGCTGCACCCAGCGGGAGCTGGGAGCCATCCCTGGCCGAGGGTGGGGGAGCTGGGGTCAGGGAAGCACCACACTGCCGGGGGCATTCCCTGCTTGAGGGGAACAAATTGTCCCTCCCAGTGTGAGAGAGCCAAGGCAGAGAGGGAAAACTGAAAGGAAAAGTGCTCGGCCCACTTTGGGGGAAGTAGTGCTCTGGACACGCAGGATGGGCCCAGGGTGAGCTTTTCCCTGCCAGGACTTAGGCTGGGTCAAGCTGAGTCTGGCAGAGGTTTCTTTGCTGGCCAGGGATGGTGTGGGGAGGCAGGACCCTTTGCCCCACTCTCACTCTTTGAGAAGGTAGGCACATCCTGGACTGGGATGGGGACCTTGGGAAGGGGGCTCAGGGCTCCTCGAGGCATTAGCAGCTGGCCAGCAGGACCTGCTGTGACCCTCCTTTTGCTCCTGAGATTTTGGGAGTGGTACAACACCGCAGGGTGTGCAGCTGGTGGGGCCTGACCCGGGTGTCTCTGTGCAGATGCTTTGCTGGAAGAACTGGAGCAGAGTTACTGCCTGGCTTCCAAGGACCATGTGCTGCAGGGACCAAGCTCTAGCCAGGATGCCCAGCATGGCAGCTTGAAGGTAATGCCTGGGCAGAGCTCATGATGGGGTGGTGGAGCTGGGCAGGGGAAGCTGCCAGGGGAGCACCCTGAGGGCTCTGCCACAAGGGCTTGTCCTTTCAGGCACCGCTGCCGCCTCAAGCTCAGCCTCCAGGAGAAGGTTTGGATTCAGTGTACAGGTAAAAACAGCCGTGGGAGGGCAGAGCCATCTGGGGCTGTCCATTCCTTGCTGGGATCTGCCATCCAGGGTCACCTGGGACAGACTGTATCCTGCATACCCGCAGTGCTCCCTGCAGGAGCCTGTGGGAAAGGGCTGTGGTGGCAGGGGCGGAGGAGGGGGTCTTGGTCCTGGCCTTGGGGTGGACACCACAGCATCTCCCCTCTCTGCCATGTGCAGCACCCCTGTGCCAGTCCCAAAGCCGCTGCTCCCCTCAGCCCCACACACAGAGGCCGCCCGGCAGCTGGATGAGCTCCTGGCCGACCTGGGCCATACACAGAGCAAGGTGAGCGAGCCTTGGCCCTGGGGCATCAGGCTGGGGGGTTTGGCCCTCACCCAGACCTCACCATCCTCCTTCCTGGCAGCTGGCAGCTTCAGGGCAGGGAGTTGGGGTGCCCACGGAGTCCTTGCTGGACAATATGCTGGACAGCCTCACCCGGGACCTGCAGGAGCTGGGCATCACGGCCGCACCCGCCGGCGTCTGCGCCGCCTGCCGCAAGCCCATCGCTGGCAAGGTGAGCCCCGCCGCCAGCCTGGCACCCCTGGGCTTCCCCCGGAGCTGCCCTCACAGCCCCTGCGCCTCCTCCTCGCAGGTGCTCACAGCCCTGGGCAAAACCTGGCACCCCGAGCACTTCACCTGTGCCCGCTGCGGGCAGGAGCTGGACAAGGGGCCCTACTTTGAGCAAGGAGGGCAGGCGTTCTGTGAGGAGGATTATCACCAGGCCTTCTCCCCGCGCTGTGCCTACTGCGCCGGTCCCATCCGCGAGGTGAGTGAGTGACCCCCTGGCCTCCCCCGGCCACCACCAGCGCCCTCACCTCAGCTTTTCCTGCAGAAAGTCCTCACGGCCCTGGAGCAGACCTGGCACCCCGAGCACTTCTTCTGTGCCCACTGTGGGAAGATGTTTGGAGATGAGGGTATGTCCCAAGGAACAGGTGCGGGGATCTTGGCCCCATCCCAAGTCTCCCCTGCTCTTGCACTTACCACCCCATCGGACAGCTGCCCACGATCTCTCCCTTGCCTCCTATCCCGGATACCACCATGTCCATGTCCCACTGTGAGCCATGCCCAGGTGGGTGCCCATCCCCATCCCCTCCCCACAGGGTTCCTGGAGCGCAATGGGAAGCCATACTGCCACCAGGACTTCCTGGCCATGTTCGCCCCCAAATGCCAGGGCTGTGAGCGCCCTGTTATGGACAACTACCTGTCGGCCCTGCAGGGTGTATGGCACACCGAGTGCTTCGTGTGCACGGTGAGTGGGACGGCGGGGATGTACGTCATGGGGATGTTCCTCGGACCATGCCAGCCTTCCCCTCTTCTTCCCCCAGGAGTGCCTGACTGGCTTCACCGGCGGGTCCTTCTTCGAGCTGGAGGGGAGGCCCTACTGCGAGCTGCACTTCCACCAGCGGCAGGGCACCATCTGCCACGGCTGTGGCCACCCCGTCACCGGGCGCTGCATCACGGCCGCAGGGCGCAGGTACCACCCCGAGCACTTCATCTGCACCTACTGTCTGGGCCGGCTGCACAAGGGAACCTTCTGCGAGTACGACGACAAGATGTACTGCCAGCCCTGCTACAACAAGCTCTTTGCCTGAGCCCCAGGTGCCCAGCACACAGCCTGGATGTCCTCAGCATTGTCCCCACCATCAACATGCCTGGCATTGTCCCTGCTGACCCAAACACGCCTCATATCCCACCCATCAACATGCCTGCCGCTGGTCCCCCTCAGCCAACTGTCCCTAGCCTTGTGTCTGCCAAGCCAGGCTTCATTCCTTGTCCCCCTCCTTTCACAACATATCCCTGGCACTGCTCCTTGGACCTGAAGCAATAAAATACCTGGTCCTGCCTTCTGTTTACTGGTGGCTTTAGGGACAAGGGTGCAAGGCAAGGTGGGAGGGCTGGGAAATACCACATGGTTTGTCACAAAGTGACACCTCAGGGAGCTATGGAGACCAGCACCACTCCTGGAAAAAGCAGCTGGGGTCCAGCAGCAAAGCCAGAAACACCAAAGGGGCAGGCACACATCACACTTTAAAAACTTTATTTATATAAAAAAATCACTTTGTTTTAAAAGCGTTACAAGAGTGTGCACAGGAATCAGACAAGGAACGGCTTGGCGCTTCCCCCTCCCCACCTCCTTGGCCCCCCTCCCCACCAGGACCAAGGAGGAGAGAAGGGGGATGCTGTTTTTTTGGTTCATTTGGAATTAAAAATTAAAAAAGGAATTAGTGTTTTACATATTTAAAGGAAAAGAGAAGAGTTAGACCCCAGAACAAAACCCAACTGAGCTGAGGTGGGGCTGGAAGCAGGGCAGGCCCAGCCGGAGCTGTGGGGGAACTGGGGCAGGAGCAAGGCACCAGCTCTGCCCCTGCCACCTCCCCGTGCCCCGAGAGCCCGCCCTGGGGGGAGCCCCGGGCTGGGAGGGCTCCTGCTCCAGTTTGCAGCCTCCTACAGAGGCTTCCAGTTGCACAGGGAGCTCCAAGGCCCCCCAGAAGGTCACAGCACATGGATGTGCCCCAGCACCACAGCCAAGGAGGAGGAGGAGCACATCCCAACTCCCTTGGCAGCCCAGGCCAGGATGCAGATAAGCACCCTGCCTCCTCTCAGCAAGGGCAGGGGGGTTGGGTTTCCCCCAAAACAGGCTCCCAAGCCCCACTGCAGACAGGTAAGGCTCCCAGCAGGGAAGGGAAGAGCTCAGCCCTGCCAGAAGCCCAGGAAACTCCCCTTTCCCAGGGAAGCAGCCAGACAGTACGATTCAAAGAGCTATTTCACAGTGGCAAAAGAAAGGCACGTGTCAAGATTAAGTCAGCGGGGCAGCGTCGCGGGATCCTGGCTCCAGGTGTCCGGCACAGTGCACCCCGAGCCGCCTGCTCTCCCCAAAACTCTGACCCATCTCCTCCCTCCAGGGGACCCTGGACCACGGCCCAGGACTGACCTCCTTCCTCACAGAAGGATCCTCCTCACACAGGCACTGGGTCGGAGCCAGGGCCCCATCCAGACCCCTCTGCAGGATCCAGAACTGGATCTCCCTTCCCATGCCCCCAAAGCCTCTAGCCCCCTAGAGCAAAGCAAGAGATGTTATTGCTGGTTTTTCTTTCCCTGGCCCCCGTGCCTCCAGCCCCTGGACTCTGGTCCTGCAGCCCTCAGGGAGGAGGGATGCTACTGTCGTCCCCACGGTGCTGGTTGAAGAGTGATCCCACACGAAAAAATATATCCTATAGGCAACAAAACCAAACCAAAAACAAGGCGGCAGCGAGTGAGGTCCCAGTCCCTGTCCCTGCAAGACACCTCAGAGCAGGGGGAAGGCGTGGGAGAGAAGGCAGCTCCTGGTCAAGGCAGAGGTCCGAGTCCTTGTGCAGCATCCACGCCGGCTGATCCGGCAGAGTCAGGCGGGAAGGTTTTACTCTCGGGAGGAAGGAGGTGGTGGAGGACGGGAGGAGAAGTTCTCAGTGGTGGTGTCCCAAAACAGGGAGGTGCAGCGGCCCAGAGGAGACCGAGTGGCCCGGGCTGCCCTGGGGACCCGGCCCAGGCATTTGGCTGGATGGTTGGCACAGAGAGTCCAGCAAAATTCCAACAATAAGACAAGGTAAAAGTCAGTCCATTCCACCATGAAGAGTTATATATTTATATATATAATATATTATCAACCCAAATGGAGCAGAGGCAGGGAGGCCAACTAGATCTTCTGCTGTGGAGAGAGAGAGGGACAGATGTTAAGGCTGGAATGGGAGTGAGGGCGGAGAAAGGATCACGGCACCAGTGATTGCAGCAGCAGTGATTGGAGCAGGATTTGGCTGGCCAAGCACCCCTAAGAGCACAGCAGGATCTGTCACCACTGTCAGATTGGGCAGGACACCGTGGGACATACCGACATGGGGGAGGGCACAGCAGCATCTTCCTCCGCCTCCTCTACCTCAGGCTGTGACTCCTGCCCCTCCTCCTCCTCCTCCTCCTGCTGCAGACACATGCGGTTAGTAGGGGCCATGGCATGGGGGGTGTTAGTTGTGGGAGCCCAGCTCTCCTCTCCTCTGTCAGACAGGACACTGATGTGGCATTTCCTGCACCCACCCCACTGTTCCCGAGTTAAAAAGAGCTGCTCACCATCAACGGCGCTCCCTTCACCGGCTCCATCTCTCCAAGGTCACCGGATCGGTCCAGTGTCCTGCCGTGGTCCCTCTCGTTGAGTGTGGAATAGTTGTCTGGAGCAGGAGAGGGGACAGTCAGTCGTGTCACCTCCATGGAGGGCTGCATCACCCCTGCAGGAGATGTGAACTCTGCTCTGCTCCCCACATACCCAGAGGGAGTCCCTCTCCTACCTGGTCCCATGTTGCTCATCTGGATCTCTTCCCGGGAGGATTTCTTGTCTGCAAGCATGGGAGAGCACATCAGGAACAGTTCCTGCACCCAGGAGCCACAGAGGAACTGTTCCATGCCCCACATGGGGGAACCCAAGGCCAGCTGCAGCTCTGTGACCCAAGGACACCACAGGACCTACAATGCCAGCCCCAAGAAGCCATCTAAGGCCCAAAGTGATGGCCCTGATGGCCAGAAGAGCCACCCAAAGGCCATACTAATGGCCCTGTGTGAGCAGCTGTGGCTGCCAGGGAAGCCAAAGCTAAAGAGCGAGGGAGAGGACAAATGCCAGCTGCCCTGAGTACCCACAAGGCAGAGGGATGATGGCAGGCACAGGTGCAAAAGGCAAGCACATACCTGTTTTTTGGTTCCTGTCGATGAGAGGCAAGGTGCTGTCATCAAAGGAGTTGCCTCCTTGGGTCCGAGAGGCATTGCTCAGGTTCACCTACAGCAACAGACAGTGACCACTCAAATCCTGGGCCCAGAGGTGCCTTCCTCATCAGCACATTCCAGCTCTCCAGCACCAGCACAAACCCAGGAACACCCTCTACATGTGGCTCTTGAGTAAAGGGCCCAAAATAACTCAGAAAGTGCTGAAGCCCCCACTGCACCCCCATCAGTGCCTGGCCCCCAGCAGCAAGGGCAGTCCCTGCTTTTGGGAAGGAAACTGAGCCTTGGAGAACCCTGTTCTTCAACACTGCCACAGCAGCACTTAAGAGTGACAAAATTCCTGCCTCATGCTCATTTGGGACACAGGGCATGATACTTTACAGTGTTCCTAGCAGAGACTTCCTGCTGGCCATTGGCTGAAAAACAGCACAGGGACACCTCTGTGGGTGCCCAGTGCCACCAGCAAGGTGAAGAGCTGCAGGCCAGTACTGCCAAGATCCAGGAACAACCTTCTCCCTGTTGCACAATCCCACCTACCACCCTGGCCACCACAGGGCATCCCCACACCTGGAAATCTGACTTCTTCCAGCCTTCCTTCTCAAGGGGCTTCCGCAGCTCCTTATAGCCCCAGACTGTCTGCAAGACGAGGGCGGCTGCCCTGACTTCTCTCTCTGAGCGGTTCCTAGACAGAGGAGAAGGAAGAGATGTTTGGAAACCCAAAGAAAGCGAAGCCCCTCTCCACCCCTGGTATCATCCTTTGAGCAGAGCCTACCCAGATTTGTTGATCAGCACAAGCTTCTCGATCCCCTGCGTTTCCCGGAGCTTTTTGGCTGCCTCAAGGTTGTCCACGATCACTTCATTGATAGTGTTGAGGATTGACACCACTGTGTCCTCAGAGAGGTTTTTGGCAGGGGTCTGCTGGCCTCCAGGCAGGTTCTTTACTAGGTTGGGGATGGCATGTTTACCTGGGAAGGATAAAGTGCTGGGCGTAAGCAAGCAGGGACTGAAGGGAAAACCACTGATAGGTGACATGTTTTGCTCTCCCTCTCTGTGGAGCTCGTCGCTCTCTGCTCCGCGTGAGGGCAGAGGCTGGGCTGATGCTGTCCCCACACACTTCCCCAGGAGCCAAGAGGAGAAGGAGGAAGCTCCTGCCTAGCCTGCATGGATACAGGGAGCGTGCAGCCCTCACCGATCAGCTCCTTGTTGCGCAGGTCCACGGCCAGGTTGCGCAGGGCCCCGGACGCCGCTTTCACCACGCGCTCGCTGTCGTGCGTCAGGAGGTCGGCGATGGCGGAGAGCCCCTTCTCCTGGCGCAGGGCTGAGCGGATGCACCGGCCGTACTGCGGGGAGGCACAGGGCCACAGCGTCACCCGGGGCTGGCACCGCTGCCAGCCCCACGGACAGTGTTCCCGGCTCCCCTTTCCCTGGCACTCACCGTCCAGCTGCCAGCGCACAGGTTCTGGATGGCTCCTGCTGAAGCCTCCAGGATGGCTGGAGTCTTGCTTTCCTTTAGGAGGGAGATGTATATCCGCACCACTTCTGGCTGGAAGAGGAGCTCGTAGCCTGCCAGGAGGACATGGGTAGGAAGGATTTATCCAAGGGCTCTGCTAGTGTCTGCCTAATCCAAAGGGGCACTGCTGGGTAGATGAAGCTGGAAGCTTCTACCCAGGCTCCCAGGGGTGAGATTCTTGGCACAGAGAGGGCCAGACTGCCCTAGGGTACCAGAAACCTAAGCCACTGCTTGCTCAGAGGCTGTGATTCACACACAAGTGAGGCACTTGTCCCCAGAGGCTTCTGGGAATGACCCTTCCTCATTCTCATGGCTGCAGAACAATTTAACATGGAGATTTTAGCTTTAAACCATGCCTGTCCTTCATGCTCAGGAGTGAAGAGCAGGCAAGAGGGCAACTGTGCTGGCAAGTCTGAGACTACCAGACAGTCTCTACAGACTACAGTCTGTGTCACTGTGCAGTCTCTCACCCCCTGGGGCAGTATTTCCTTCTGAAAAGCCTGTCCTGAGGCAGCACTGACCTCATCCATGCAAAAGATCCTCACAACTACTGGCAGAACTTATGTTTTAACAGGGCCTTGGGTATTCTTGCTCCAAACCCAAGTTCTGCCCACTGGAGAGGCTCACTTCAATGGGAAACAGGTCCTCTCACTCACTAGTCTCCCAGGCTGCTGTAGCAAAAGTTGCCCTGACACCCAAGCCCTGCACAGTCACTCAAGGAGCATACCTTTGGCTGGAGTTGTTCTTTTTGGAAAATCCACTGTGTCGGCACCAGGGTCTTCTGGGAGCTTTTTACCTTCAAAGGGCAAGTGAAGAGGTGTGAGACTCCTGCTCTCCCCACCCACCTCGGCCCAACAGCTCTTTGCCACTGCAGGAACAAGCCCAGAGGCGAGCTGAAGCCAAGCGAACAGCATGTCACAGGAGGGGACATGGGGGCATTAGCCACACTGCAGGCAGAATGTGCCCAGCTGGGGAGGGGGGCAAAGAGAGCTGGAGAAAGCACCCAATTAAACCATGGAAAAAGTAAAACCAAGAGCGCACTCACCTCTGGAGAACCACTCGTCTATTGGTGAGGCGGAGAGAAGGACAGGAGAGAGGGGAGGCAGGAGGAGAGAAGTGCCAACAGCGTCATGGGGCAGATCATTTGGCAAGAAAGCAAAGAGAAGGGGAAGGGGCAACACAGGAGAAAAGGAAAGGTGTGGAATTAGTGGACATGTATCCGTCACCATCCCGCCACCACAGACACCCACCACAGCTTGTGAAAAACGCTTTGGGCAAGCCAAGCAACAGCTCCCAGAGCCAGGGAAGCAGGGACCACTGCATCTCCAGAGAAAGTTGCCCTTCAGGCTTCACATGAGATGCCCGAGTAGGAACACAAAGACCACCCAGACCACCCTCAATACTTGTCTCTGTTCCCCTCCCTCCCTTCCCTGATGCTGCTGGCACACGAACCTTTGCCCTTCTTGGCCCCAAAGCAGCTGGCATTGTGGGGCCCGGCGTTGTTGGCAGGGACAAGGGGCGTCTCCTGGTAGCGCTCAGCGTGGGGGATCTCACGGTGGACTTGGTAGGACAGGTTCCTCAGCAGGCACACACAGTTTTCCACCAGCTGGGGAGAGAACCAGTGTCTGACTCAGACAGGGTCTCTGAGTACTCCAGGTCTGTGAGTGAGGGCCTGGCCCAGCCTTCACCTTAAAGCTCAAGGAAAATTCAAGCCAAGATCTTATCCAGGCTGATCAGGAAGCCCTGAATCAGCTGACAGTGGTGTGGGGATGAGTGACGCAATCAGGCCCCTGTTGGAGGGCCAACATTCCAACCCAAACTGCAGGCTGAGTGCCAGACACCTCCTGGTCCAAGAGTGCCAGGTGCACCCCACACAGGCTCTCCCTTTCCCAACACCAGTCCCACTGTGGTACCTTGCTGTCCGAGTCCTTCTGGCCGATCTCGGACTGCACGATGTAGATCAGGGCATCCACCAACCCGTCACATTCCCGCAGCTTCCGACGGGCCTCACTCCGCTCCGAGCTCACATTCCTGGCAGGCAGGAGAGACAGCTGAGGGACAGCCCACACCCCACACAGCTCAAGACAGAAAACAGCTCCTGTAGCTCCCCTCACTCAGGGCAAATGCCTCCAAACTCAAGGCCTGCAACACCAGCAGCTGTCTTATGAGAGCAGCTGCTCCACAGTCCTCTGGAAGTCCAGGAACAGCCCAGAAGGAGCATTGTAGCCCAAACCCAGGCCAGTGCTCTGCCAGATCCATACCTAAGGCAGCCAGCGGTGTTGGTGAGCACCGACTCCCACTCTATATGGCGGGGTTTGGAATCCTCGTTGGGCTCCCGCTCCCAGCCGGAGCGGGGAATGACCACCTCATCGGTCAGGGCATGTAGTGCGTGATCCACGATGGCCATCTTGATAGAGTCGTGCGAGGACAGGTTCCACAGTGTCCCTGCAATGCCACAAGTGGAAGGTGAACACCTGGCCCCTGACCACAGACCCTGGCCCAGGGGACAGGCTGTCCCTTCCTCCCCGGAGCCACTACCTGTGATGACCTCGGTGAGGTCCATGTCGTGGGCCTTGCGCAGCAGGCGCACCAGCGCGGGCACCCCGTCGCAGTTCTTGATGGCGATCTTGTTATCCTGGTCTTTGCCGAAGGAGATGTTCTTGAGAGCTCCGCAGGCGCCGTAGTGCACCTCCTTCTTGGGGTGATCCAGCAGCCCCACGAGCACGGGGATGCCCTTCAGCCGGCGCACCTCCGTCTTCACCTTGTCGTTGCGGTAGCACAGGTGCTGCAGGTAGGCAGCTGCGTTGGACTTGACGGCGTCCAGCCGGAAGCTCAGCATGGCTATGACCTCCGGCAGCTCTGGCTGGCGCCAGTTCCCCGGGGCTGGGCCGCCTTTCCGCAGGCTGTCCAGGCTGGCCAGGCTGCCCCGCTCGTGCTGGGCCAGCGGGGCCCAGTAGTACCGGTCGGGGGCCACTTCATCCACCAGCATGTCTTCATAACTCCTAGGAGAGAGGGCAGAGGGCGTCTGAGCACAATCCTGGACCTGGGGGAGGCAGTGCCCCCTTCCAGCCCACCAGAAGGGATGAAGCTGAAACTTGGTCTCTGACCCCTGCAGAGGCAGGAGCCAGCCCTGGGGCACAGGTGAGAGCCAGCCCCACAGGCAAGGTGTGCAGCTGCCGAGTTGGGCACCAAGAGCCACACATGCTCCAGGGATCAACCTCATGGCTCCCAGGGCAGGCCCGGGGAAGAACCGTGGTCCCAGACCCCTGCCCTGGCCAGGAACAGCAGTTCTATGGACTGGCAGCACTGGGAAAGAGCCCAAACAAGCACATAGAAGATTAAAGTGTAACTACTGCCCTGCATGCCAAACATTTCACACCCCCAGAACATACACCTTTCAAATCCCAGATCCTCCCATTTTTGCAGTCACTAGCACTATAATCCTTCCCCCATCCAGGCAGAGGAATCCAGTAGATTTCCAGCAGAAAGAGATGGGAGGGGACAGCTCAGTCATCCTTGCTGTGCCAGGGCACTAAGGACATTCAAGCAAGACCCAAGGACAGGCTTGTACCTCCATTCCACCTCACACCTGCTCCCAGGGCTGCTCAGCCATCTCTGGAGCTCCTGGATCAGGCACAGGCAGCTCCTGCCCCTGAGTATCCTGATAAGGATGGTGGCACGGTCCTGCTGCTGCCATCACTTCCCTTTCTGCAGCCTCTGGTACAGGACTTATCCCAGCCACCAGCTTTAGAGCCACTTCCACAGTCACAAAACCCTCAGGCACTGTGGCACTGCTGTGGTGTGTGGTGGCAGGCTGCCAGGCCAGCTTCCAGCAGGTCTAGTGGGGACACGTCCCATGCCTGGCTGCTCAGAGGTGCTGAGGAGTAGCAGCACGAGGCTGGATCGAGACACAGCCACCAACACTTTGCAACACGGCTGGCACCTGATCCCACACCTGTGCCAAGACTCACACTCCCCAAAAGGGAGCTCCTGTCCCACCCTGGTGCTGGATCTGACATCCCATGGTGCTAGATCCCTTCCAGGCAAGATGGGGCTGGCAAGGAAGGGGAAGGACCCCCTTCCCTGCAGAGAGAGAGCTCTGACAAGCGCCCCAGAGCAGGGGCCGGAGCTCTCCGCAGCCGGTGGCAGCCAGCACGCACAGCGTCCCGCAGCTCCAGGCGCTCCTTCGGCTCCGCGTGCCTGGCGAGCTGCCTCCCCGAAGGAAGTCGTTAACAGCCAGGCTCCTGCTCAAGACAAACATCTCTGAGGCGGGGGGATGCTGCTCTCCCTGTTCCCATTCCTGTGAGCTAGGCAGCCAGTGTGGACAGTAACTGAGAAGGCAGGGGACAAGCCAAGTTCAACAGCACATGGATTCCACAGATTGCTGTGATCTTTATCGCTCTGCCTGGGGAGGAGGAGAGCTGGCTCAGGGGCCCACCAATCCATCTTTCATACCCTGAGCCATTCCTGCAACTCCGACAGAGCTGACCTTCTCCATCTATGTGACCCACATCCCCCAGTCTCCCACCTGGCTGCAGCTCCTGCACTTGACTTCTGTAACCTCCTTCCACTGGGATGTGGGGGAGCAGGAGCACAGACACTTTCCTGCACAGCAGAGGAGGCTCATAGTCTCAAAGGCCACCCAGGACACCAGGGAAGGTATACAAGCCAGAGTCTCTGGACAAGCAGCCAGGGGTTGGACACACTTGTGTAACCCCTTCTGCCCAAGATGCTCCGTGAGGTACAAGACCTGATGGCCATGTGCTCAAAACTGCCAACACTGGCTTGTCCTGGGCTGCCCAAGGAGGAAGAAGCCTGGAGCAGCCCTGCCTGCCCTCCTCCAGCCAGCACAAGCTGCACAAAGCAAGGAGGCTGAGCAAATCCATCTGGGTGAGCAACTGCCCCAACTGGTTCACCACAGCCCAGAAGCACTTGTGCTGGCACCAGCTACAAGGACAGTCAAGGCTGTTCCTTCAGTCCCTCTGGCAGCCAGGAGCCACCATGGATTTATAGCATGCACCTGGATCGGGCAGATCTCCACAGGGGCTGGGAAAAGCCTCCTTTCCCCCAGGTCTCTCCCTGTCGCCTCTGTTTTACGTCCCAGTATCTTCAGCCCCTGTGCTGAGCCTTACCTGTCTGCCTGGGCCCACTCTGGGGCATTCAGGAGGTGCTGGCACAGTCCCTTCTCCATCTCCAGGACTCTGTCTCAGCCCCTTGCTCCATCGCTACCTCACCACCCTCAGAGCCATCCCCCAACACCTGCCCAAAGCCCTGCTGACAAGCCCAGCCAGAAGCAAAGCAGAGACAGCTGGCATAAGAGACTAAAGGGCAGGAGTCATGGCCTCAGGCAGGTGACATCCTGAATGCCTGGCAGGACAGGAAAGACCACCAGGACCCTGCTCTGGCCTCCAAGAGCAGTGTAGCCCAGCAAGCTGGAGGAGCTGCCATCACTACAGACACACAAGGGAGAGAAGCTGCTGCTGCCAAACAGGTTGAGCAGCTTCTCCCGCCCTGCCCTGCCCTGCCCTGCAGCAGGGTCAGGCTGTGCAGGAACGAACTCTGGTTGAGCCCTGCTCACCCCAGCCTGGGCTAAGCTCCCCTTCCCGGGGGGCTGCTCTTGGCTCAGGGTGAGCGCAGTCATGGAACTGCAGCTGCTCCCAACACACAGCCCACACAGGCACCACTCCCAGAGGGATATGCCACACTGGGGCACATACAGCCCTGGTAGCACAGACGAAAGGGCCTGGAGCTACATCCAGCTGCCCATTGGAACTCCTGGCTAGAGGACAACCGGCTCAATTACCACCCAGGTTTAACCACCAATTAAGCAGACAATTAGAAGCGGATGCAAGTTCTCTCCTGTGTGAGCCGCATGTGACTCAGTTCAGAGTGTTGTGTCCATGGTCCTCCCTCCTCCAAGGATGGTAAAGTTCAAGGGACCCCAGAGCACCCCAGAGACTCCTGCAACGTACCTGAGTCGTCGTCGAGCATCAGACGGGGTGCCCGCCCTCCTGGCCGTGCCATAGTCAGACATGAGCCCGTAGTCCACATCTTCGAAGCCCACACTACGCTGGTCGTCCTCCAGGCCGTAGGGTTCAGGGTGGAAATGGTTGAGGTCCATGTTGCTGCCCCCAACACGCACCTGGGGCTGGGGACCGTAGATATCCTGGCGGCTGGGGGCCCGGTAGGTGTCCATGGAGGGGCGGTAGCGCTCGTCGATGCGGGTGACGCGGGACAGGCTGCCGTAGCTGTGGTCGCTGCCCGGGTACCCGTCCTCGTAGGGGCGGCCGTAGCCGTCGGGGTAGTGGTAGTTGCGAGGGAGGGTGGCCGTGCCCGCCGGGCCCAGGTAGCTGCCGGGGCCCCCGTTGCCGTTCTTGCGGAAGTTCCTGTCCATGGTCTGGACGTAGTTGCTGGTGACGGGGGACGTTTCCAAAGGCAGCCCGTCAGGCCCCACCGGCACCTGCTGCACCGTCCGGGTGGTCACAGTCTTCACCACTTTCTTCACCTGGAAGGGGTGACACACATGCAGGGCATGGTCACATCAGGAATCCCACCATGCCCCTGTGTTCCCGGATTCCCCTTCCAGCCCAGCATCTTACTTCAGGTATGTTTCACGCCCTGTTTCAGCTCATGGCAGAGCACCCAGCCACCAGGGTCCCTCGCCATGCCCTGTCCCTCGATGATGTCCCCAGGCCCATACCGTGGTCTCTGTACGCCGAGTTGTCCCATCATCTGATGTCTCCACAGACACGACTGACATGGCCCCTTCTGGGTCCTCCTCCATGGTGTACGTCTCCTCCACGATCTGGCCCGGGTCCTGCATCCTGGGGATTGTGCTGTACAAGAGGTGGCTGTGGTCCTGAGGGGAGAAAGCGACAGGCAGTCAGGCCCTGTCACCAATCTGTGCCTTCCTGGTGTCAGCTGGATGAGAGATCTTTCTTCACTGGGAGCTCTGATACCTTTTGGAAGAAGGTACCTTTGAGCCAGGGTGGCTACACAAGGAGCCCAAATCACCCTCTCCCAGTTGGAATGGGGACACTGGGGCACTGTCCTGCACCCTCCCCACAGCAAACAGGCTGCCCACAGCCAGAGGGCTCAGCTCCCCCTACCTGTGGCCCGTTGAGCTTCAGATCTGAATATTTCTGCCTTTCCAGGTCAGCATCGCCCAGGAAACGTCCGTTCTGAAACACAGCAGGGCAGCAGGTCATGTACCCATCCTCACTTCCCTGCAGGGCCCTGAGCAGCCCATCTCATGCACCTGACAGAGACACCCACCATGCACCCTATGGGAGCCCCCAGCAGAGGAACACCATCCTCAGGGGTGTGTGCCATATGCAGCAAATCTCCTCTAGGTCAGCCTGGGCAAGAGTCAGAGGAGACACCCTGACACCCCAGCTCGCCCGCACTCTCCTGACCAAATGGCCATGACCCTTCCCTGCTCCCTGGCAGGGCCCTGGAAGCCTTCCACATCTCCTGACACAGGAGTCACCAGTGACCCCAGAGGCCCCCCTGGGCCTGAGAGAACCGCGTGGTGGCCGATCACAGGCTGCTGCCGTTTGACACTTGAACTCTTCCTCTGTCCGCCCTGCCCTGCCCCACAGATCCCTCCTGGGACCACCACCTTCCACAGACAGAAATGCACCTGGCTCCTGCACACCACCATGCACCAGCCCTCTGAGCACCCCTCTCCAAGACTGAGCCTGAGAAAGTGAGGAGATGCCTCAAGCCAAGGCAGATGAAACCACATTTCCAGTCCTGTAGAGAAGATCTCTCCCAGCCCCGGTTTGGCCATGTTGGGACAGACTCCAGGGATTTGCCCTTTGTCACACACAGAGGGAGACACACACTCCAACCTCAGCATTTCAGCTGCCCTCCAAGCAGCCGAGTGGGATGGGGAGCAGAGATGCTCTGGAACTGAGCACAGCCAACCTCTGACCTTCCCAAAACCAGAGCAGAGCCGACCTGGCACCAAGACCCTCCAGACTGGCACCTCCTCTCCTGAAGCCTGCCTGCCAAGGGAGGTCTGCACACCCCCAGACCGACTCCAGTACACCAGTGCCACAAGAACAGCCGGGCCCTCCTCCACCTCCCGTATCCAAGGAGGGCTGAGGGGAGGCAGCTCCGGGGGCTCCAGGAGCCTGTGCACACCCCTCTGCCAAGGGGGTGTTTTACCTGGTGCCGCCGGGTGAGCGTGCCGTTGGCCAAGCCCGGGCCGGCGTCCTGTGGGGAGACCCGGACTCGCTCCAGCTGGGCTGAGACATGGCGCCGTTCCTCCTCCAGGGCCCGGGTCAGCTTCTCGAACTGTGCCTCCTGCTCCTTGACAGAGGCAAGGATGCTGGCGGTCGACTCCACTTCTGAGTCGTCCATGGGTGACGGGTGCCCAGGGTGGGCAGGGCGGGGGGCACGGGGAGGCACAAGCAGAGGCGGCTTGGTGTCAAGGGTGGGAAAAATGAGCCAGAAGGGCAGGAGCCCCTCTCTTCACTGCGCATGATTTTGGGGGAGGAAAGGAGGAGAGAAGAGCGGTCAGGAGAGACTGATTTCATTAAGACAGATTTTCAGAACAGGAAAATAATAAAATCTTATGGCATTAACACCCGCTCCCACCCATCACCAGAGAGCTGGCAAGAGGGTCCTGGAGCAGGACTCAGATGCAAACTGCGCCAGCATTGAAGCTTGGAAAGGTGGCATTGTGGGAATGGAAGGTGACCCCAGCACGGCAAACAGTTGGGGCTGAGCCAGGTTCAGAAAGCTGCTGTGGGCTGAGGGAAAACCTCATGGGCAAGGAAAAGCTGCGGGCAGACAGTGGAGGAGGGGAGGGCATATCCCTGGGGTGGGGCAGGGGACACTCCTCAAGAATGAGAAGTGACCCACATCCTACTACTTCCTCCAGGGAAGGGCGGAGGGAGAGGGCCATGCCACTTATCTGTTCCCTCCTCTCTAGTACTGTAAGCAATGTGGAGACAGCCCTCGCTTCACAGCTCCTTCCTAGCCAGGAAGGAGGATGGAATTAATCCTTTAGGGGGATCACATGAGCCCCTCTGACAGCTGCCAAAACTCACCACCCTCCAGGGCTCTCCCACCAAGGATCCTGAGCCCACAGATCTGGGAATGGGCTTCTGCCTGGACCCCTCCAACACCCCCTCCCAAAGGAGAACAGCAAGTGAGCCACAATCAACATTTGGGTACAGAAAGGCAATATTCTTCCATACAGACCTGTCAGAGGAGGAAGCTCAGGTTTGATTGGCAAAGGCACGGGACAGCCAGGTCTAGACGCAGAGAGTCATGGGAGAAACAGCCCAGCCACCACAGTGAGGAAGCAGGAGGGAAGAGAGCTGCAGGGACAGCGGGAGCAGGTTAAAATCACACACAGGAAGCCCTAAACAGGAGGTAGGGCAGGCATGGAACCGGGAAGCGGGCGCCTCTCACCCACCCCCGACTCTGAGGGATGGGTCTGGAAGGGCCAGTGGGGTGACAAACACGGTGCTGCTCCCACAGCAGCCCCCCCCCAAGCTCCATGGAGACTCCAGCAGCCCTCACTGTTCCCACCGACAGGAGAAACAGCAGAGGTGCAGAGGAGCGGCCAGGGCTCAGCCTCCACCCCTCCTGCGCAGCCCGGCTGAGTCCCTGCAAGCCCGAGAGGTTTTCCCAAAGCTGTGCAGTCATGGCAGGCATGTGGGGACTCGCTCGAGCCGGGCAGGCAGCACAGAGGCTGCTTTCCCACGGTCTCCAACAACGGCTCTGCCCACTCCACTCCCCGGTGCCACCGCCCCAGAGGGCCGATAAGGATGACCTGGGGCTGAGAGCTCGTGCAGGCAGCATCCCTGTTCCCACCACCTCCTGCAGCCCCTCCAGACCCATCCCGCAGCACAGCAGAGCTCAGTAAAGTTTTCTGATCTGTCAAACCCCTCCCCACTCCTCCTGTGGCTCTGCTCCCCAAAGCCTCCCTCTGGTACAGGTGCGTGTCAGCCACGGTGGCACCGCCGCAACGGAGCCCAGCCATCCAGGACGGATGTTTTCCATATGCTTTGGAGGGCGCCCACAGCATGTTCCATCATCTGGTCACTGCCACTCTGTCATCTGCCTTCATCAATAAAAAAAATCCAGTTGCTCTACTCGTGCCCACATGGTGCCAAGCAGGAGAAGGAGCTGTGGCACACCCACCCCCCTCCAGAGCCCAAGCAAGCTTTTGGAGGCTCCTAGACATGACTCCTGGCTCATTGCATGGAGCTTTCCACCCCTCCCACCTTGCAACAGGTACTCCCTGAGGTTTTTCCAACAGCTTGGCTCCCAGAGCCTTGTATGGAAATGAAGGAATGGCTCTGACCCTTGCTGTTCCCCTGCCCTGTGGATTTGCAGGATTCTTTCAAAGGAGAGGGTTGGTGCCTCCCAGAACGGTGCTGATACATCCCAACTCTCATCTATGAGTAACATTCCTTGTCTCTGGTGGGCTACCACCCACTTTAAGCAAGGGCATAGATCCCCAGCCTTTCCAGGACTCCCTGATGGAAGGGGAGTGGATCCTTGCCACATGCCAGTGTTGTCCAGCAGGACACAGAGCAATCCTACCACCCCACACACCCTATGTAACTGCAGCATCCAAAGTCCCAGACAGCAAATCTTGTTGGGATTTGTTTCCAGAGCGGTATTTCAGCAAACCCTTTAGAAGAGAGGAACTGTGGAGAAGCAATCCTCCACAACATGGCCTTGTCAAAGCAGCTGTGCTCCCTGGCTGGCCCTCAAATGTCCCAATGCAGAAGAGGCAGATTTTTAGGGCACAGGAGGGCAGAGGCAGCTCCCTGACGCAAGGAGAGACTTGGCTGGTCTGGTCTCATGAAAAGGATCATGCCTGCAGCAAGTGTTGACTACCAGGGTCTGGATCTGTGGGAAGCATGGTCAGGAGATACAGGAGCCCCAGAAGATTCCCTTGGCCCCAACATGGCTGCCAGGCAGGGCCCACACAGCCCACAGGGACACCCCAGCCCCAAATCCCCACCTCTGCACATTCTCTGGGAATGGGGCTGGGAAACATGGACACTAACAATGAAACTTGCAGGGCTGTTAGGGCCCCAGATAAGGGGCCAGAGCAGCTGTGAGGCTGTTTCCTTCCCGTCCCTTCCACAGGGAGTAAACATAACAGCAGGGGAAGGAACAGGACAGGTCCTGCACCCTCTGGCTCCAGTGGATGCTCAAGGAGGGGCCACCTGAGGGTCTCCCAGCAGGATCAGGCCATGTTAAACAGAGAGACTCAGTGGTGGGGGGCTGTACTGCCTACACAGTTTGCATTCCTGCCCTGAGCACTGGACACAGCTCCACAATGGGCAAGAAGTGCCAGCAGAACAGGGTCTCTCCCAGTTTTCCTCCACCACCAGGACAGACCAGTTCCCTCTTCTCTCATTCCAGCCATTGTCTTCATCGACCTGGGATTAAAGATGTAATTACAGAGAGGCAGTGCCAGGTCCAGAGAGGTCAGCAAGAGCTGTCTCCTCAGACACAGCCAGCACTATCCCAGCTGGAGCATGGCCATTCCTTGGGTTTGGCACACAAACCCCAAACTTGGCCCTACACCCCCCCAGCTGTGAGGAATTTGCCCCACATTCAGGGATAGGGCCCCTTGACACATCCCAATGCCATCTGGGGCACTCAGTGGCCATCTCTGGAATGAGACAGGGAGGGCAGCAAGGGAAGAGCCTCAGCTCTGCATTCTGCTCCCTCCAGCCAGTGAGCTACTCGTGACAGTGCAAAGCCAAGTACACAGGAACCCGCAAGAGTGAAATTCCAGGGATCGCTTTGCGCCCATTCCCCTCCTCCTCCCCCCCAGCCTCTGAAGATCCAACTACAGAGCATTCTTCCAGAGCCAGACCCTGACCAGCTCTGAGGATGGCTCATGAAAGCCTTTTCATCATCAGAGAGGCACTTGCTGACACACCCGTTACTTAAAAACCCCAACAAGCCAAAAATACTTCAGCTGGCTCAGTTCAGGGCAAACCAAAAAGCCTATGGACAAAGCACATCCTGAGAAGATTCACCCCAGAGGTAGAATCCTTTCTGTCCCCCCAGCAATCAGTATGAGGGGACCCCAGGAAACAATGCAACAACTCAGGAAGTTTCACACCTAAATTTCCCTGGCCTTATCTCCCAGCTCCCTGACACCAACCTCACCCTGTGCTGTGCCCACAGGTCCCAAAGCCAGAGCGGGTCTACTGGAGAGATGTCACAGAGCCTGGGGAGCAGAGCCTCCTTGCTGGCTAGGAAGCAGCTGCCAGCCCACCTGTGTGCATGGAACTTCCCCACCACAATCTCCCTATCTGGATAAAGGCTTGGATACAGTCAGACAGGCACCCCAAACCCTGAGCCCTCCACAGCTCTTCTGCTGCAGTCAGCTGTGACACAGCAGGTTCTTCCAAAACCTCTCAGCCCAGCTTCTCCAGCAGAAGTGCCTTCCCACAGAATAAATCTTTTGCCTGGAAAAATAAATTTCCAGGGCCAAAACACAGACATACCCACATACCCACCTAGAGTTCACCTGCACCCTCCTCTGCCAGAGGATGGAGTCCAGGCCTTGAAGGCTCCCGATCAGGAGTGTTTTTCTGGAGTCTGCCACGGAAAGATTAACCCCAGGGCCCAGACCGAGCCAGCCCATGGGGAATTGTACTCCACAGGCCAGGAAAAATGGACAAGATCCAGCAGATAAGACTCAGGCTGGAGGCTTGACAGGCAGCACTGCTGCAGCACAGGGGACCTCCAGCACAGTCCTCTACATGGATTCTTCCAACAATCTTCTCCAGCCCTGCTCCATGCCCTGTGTCCCTAGAGAGCTGTCACCCAAAGGTCTTGGGATCCCTGGGGCTGAGGCTGTTGCCTCAGCATGGAACACTTTGGGCAAAATCCAACCCAAGCACCTACAAAGTCAGAATCTCCTCTGCCACATCATCCCCACCCCAGCACCCTGCTAAGGGACACACCAGATGCGCACTGCCATCGTCCTGCTGCCACCAGGGAGGAGGAACAGAGCTGCATCAACTCTGCCACATCCCAGCCCGTCACACAGCTTTACTGCTTGTTTGTGAGCCCCAGACACCTGTCCAGCACATGGCAGGCTTTGTCACATGGCCAGACACCCTTGGCGGCCCCCCACACCATGAAGCATGAGAAAAGCCCTTCTCCAGCTCCAGAGTCGAGATAGAGACAGTCCCTCATCCAGGCTGGCTGAGCCTCTGTGGGGCTCCTGGGCCAGACCCACCTGCCAGGCTGACAAAGAGGGATGCGCTTCTTGAGGAATTCTGCAACACAGTCCCCACTGGGACTCCACTCCAGTAACTGGCCCTTCTCTCTCAGCCCAAGGGCCTGAGGAGAGCCAGCTGGCTGCCCACTCTCTGACAGCTCTCAGCACCAGATCCCATCCTCAAGAGAGAGAGGAAGCAACAAATTCTCCTGGTTCCAGCTGCCTATCATGATGCACTTAGGAAAAACAGAAACTCCATCAATAATTCAAGCCTGCAATTGTCCGAGCGCTTGCAGTGCACTTGCTCTGCACAGGCTCACAGCCCTGCTAATTCGCCACAGGCTTCTGGTCAGTCTCAATTACCTAAAAAATAAATGAGCCAGCATCCTTGGCATCTTTCCCCATGCCAAGCACAGGGTCCAGGCTCACACATCAACCCTTAAGACCTCAGCCTGGCTGAAGCAGTAGGATATGGGAGGGAAGACCACAGGCCCAGGCTCACCTGTTCCTGTTTCCAGCTCAGAACATCCATGGCCCTCAGGCCATGGGGGGGAAGCAGGACAGCTGGTGGTGGGCAGTAGATCCCATATCCCTGTGCAGGTGAAGGAGAGTTTTGGCTGTTTCTCTCCCAACTCCAGAGGCAGGAAGGTGCCCACAGCCATCACTTCAAAGGAGCCCACCCTTGAGGGACCCCTGCCCAGGCTGACACATCTTTGCTGCCAGGTTGTGTGAGCCCTTTGCTCTCACTCCCCAGCCTAACCTGGCCCTGCCAGAGCCTACATCAGGAGAGAGGTTTCCCCACACCTCCTGCCCTGGGCTCCAGCTGTCCTCCCTGGTCTCCAGGAGCGCTCTTCTGGCTGAGAGGTCATAGCGCACAATGGACTTCGGGCAGGCTGGGAGGAGGAAAAGGCTGCTCTGGCAGCAGGTTGGACACCGCCTTGGGCGCCTGCCTGCTCTGGCCCAGCCCCACCTTTCCCGGCAGGGAGCCGTGCCCCAGGTGCCGGTCACCGCAGGAGCCCGGCGGGTGAACACCCAGGAGCGGCGCCGCGGGCAGGGATGGGCAGGGAGCCGCTCCTCCTCTGCCCTTCACACCCAACTGGTTGGACTGGC